GGTAATACTAAACGTGTTGGGAATTGTATGCCCATGAAAATGTATTGCTGATTGTATGCTGGCCAGAACTCTAACCAATCGGTCAAATCTGACGAATAATCTGACTTTACTGTTAGCGCGCCGGATAGCGTCGACGCTAGAATTTAGAGTGCCGCGGTGGGAGAATTAAACGCTAAAATCTGACTGAAAAAATACAGTTTTGGAGTTTTAGCGCCACGAGTGGGGATGCTCTTCTTACTGACTCAAACGAGCCCAATGCCGCCGTGCACCACTCCATTCCAGTCTAAGCACTGTTGGAGTTCGGTCTCGATATTGTCTCGAGGGACCAGGACGGCAACCCGATGGTGCGGTGCAACTTCAGCACTTTTGAGGGCCGCGACAAGGTGGAGATCACGGAGGAAGGATCCCGGAAGCTCAAAAGTCGCATCGACGTCAAGTACTTCAAGCCGTTCACGCGCTTAATGGCCCGGAACTGCTTACTGTGTTTGGATGTTGCCGACAAAGCTGCCGTCCTTAAGCAAATCGTGGCCTAGCGGAGACTCTGGTGATCAAGCTGCAGGGTACGACAGCAGCCTGCCGCGGGAGCAGGATGTACTTCCAAATTTACCTGGTCAACTCGTTGGACTTCGGCCGGCCCACTTCGTTCGTGATGTGCTGGACCCGCGTCGTGAGCGCATTCTTCGCTTCTGGTCTGATGTCGATATCGACCAGGTCGAGGAAAATCATAGCCAGCTGGTCACCGCCTACAACAACGACCCCGTCCTGCGCCGCACTCTTGACGAACACGACAATAGCACCACTTTCGATGACGCCCTGGGACGTCGCCCCTCGTTAATGGCTGCGTCTGTGCGCGTTCTGCGGTGGACTAGCGACCATCTACACTACCTCAGTCGAATATGACTTGTCGATCCTCAAATGGGATACTTCAAAGATGCCAATGAGCGCGTTATTTTGCCAGAAAGATTGTAAAGTCGGGGACTGTTAATGAAATAAAAGCGCAACCATATCATATGATAATTGAAGTGTTATTGCCAATTGCATAATCCAACGCTGGTAGTATGCATAAATTAGCTTAGTTTATGTAGTTTATGCATAAGCGCAAATTTGTGAGGCCTGGTATTGCCCTTTCGTGCACGCGAAGGGAGCCAATGGCACGTCGAGATGGTTCGATTTACGGACGAATCGCGTGGGCCGATGCTGTTGTGTGTATGTGTGAGACACCTGCCCTGTCATGATTACTACTGTATGGAAGTACAGTACTAGTATATGTATATGCGTGGGAGACGACGACGACGTTTACGAACGAGGGAATGGCCTTGCGTCGTACTTCCAAGTAAGTATATTGTTGGTTTTCAACACCACCACACATGCCACCAAGCCGCGAGCGGTCGACTACAACCATCGAGGGCGCGAAAAACAACCCTCGCACTGAGTCGACCAATCGATGTTATACGACGCAAATCCGAACCATCGTTCAATGGGTCATGGCCCACGGCCGCAGCCAAGGTGTGTTGAACCGCAACACGTTGAACTTGGCGACGCCGCATCGACACCAGGTCTCGCACCGAATGGAAGCGCGACAGCGGCGATGATAACGACGGCAACGTCCAACGGCGACTTGGTTTCACCAACAAATGCTGGTTGCGTTGGATGGCGTCGAAGGACTCCCTAACGTGGCAACACACTCGATCCGAAAGGGCACCGCGACGTTCAAAACGTCAGGCTGCACCACGGGACTTTAGATCGGTGTGTTAACAACTCGCGCCGGGTGGTCCCTAGGAGACGTGCTGGATTGTTACATTCATTACGCGCCTGCGGGGGACCAGTACGCCAGTCGCATCGCTTCGAGATTGCCAGAATCTAGCACCGCGTTAGGCACGCAGCCTCCGCATTTTGGTGCGCGGGACGATCCCGTGATGAGCCGAATGGAGGACATTTTCGAAGCCGAAACTGGTGCCAAGCCCCACGACCACGACCGTCCATCCGAACGCTACGTGACCGAGTCGTTTGATGCGTGCTTGGGCTACAACGGACTGGACGTAACAAGAAGCGCAAACGCGACGAGACCGACCTGAAAGTTGCGACGGTATCAGGAATTCGCCCCGCGTACTAGTAAGTACTTCAAAATTCATGATCACCTTGCCGTGCATTTGTCGCGACTTCAGTTAACTACACATTAATAGTACCACTATCTTACTGTTAGGCGGACTTAGCCGGCCACGACGTGCTCGGATTGGTTGAAATCCACATACGACGTTAGCCAGTGAAAACCGAGTATAGCAAAAACCTGTACACACCCAGCGATTGTCATAAATATATTGTGAAAACAATTATTTAAATATATTGCAATAAATATTTTATTATATTGTGCCTGAACAATAAAACTATTTATTGAAAGAGTGAAATATATTGCAATAGTTATTGTTTTCCCCAGAATTATTGCAGTTATTTTATTGAACCCCAAGTAATATTGCCATAGTTATTGGTTTCCAGAGAATTATTGCTGTTATTTTATTGGGCCCCAAGAAATATTGAAATAATATTGGTTTTCCGAATCCAATAACCCAGATTGGGCAATTTATGAGCACCCTACAATATGGCTGGTCAATTCTTTGGCTGGCTCACATGTTCCCATCTATTATCGCATTGGGGACTCAAAAGAGCTCGCAACATCACGCAACACAAATACCAACTGACTGGAACACGTCAGCAAGTCCTTCGACCCCAGCCCGCGCGTGAGTCTTGGACCACGAACGAAATCGTGGACGTTTTCTTCGCCCCCCCGATCGTAGATTCTGTTAACCAATTGAAAGGCAACATTTGGGCTCGTAAATTGTTTGCCAAAGTGTTTGCACAATTTTAACCAATGGTACTGTCAGAGTTGGTGTAGAATGAAATGATCAACCCCATCCCTCTAGAAATCGTGGATACGCATAATTTTGAAGAGGTACTGCGGCCCATTTTGTGTGCAGCGAATATATATCCACCGAGTCGAATCTTAGCAATACATGAACATATGCCTTATGCATACAGAATATCAGTGCAAAAATGTGACTTATAAATAGCTGAATATCTGTGCATCCTACAGATATTGCTGTAGGATGCACAGATATTCAGCTATTTCATTTCCAAAAATGGGTTACAGCCTCGAGATTGATTGCAGATACCGTCCTCGTATTATACAGGACATGATAACATGCCGCGAGGTCGACTCGGACAGCGATGAGGACGAGACAGAATGGCTATCTCCACAAGAAACGACGAAGAAGGCAAAGAAAGCCGAAGCGAAGGTGTCCAAAAAGAAGCACTTTCAAGTCAAGGCAAAAAAACTCTGGGATATAGACAACAAAATTTGAGTGCAAGTATTTATTGACCAATCAAAAAATATTGCAATATTTATTGGCTAATCATTAGTTATTGCAATAGTTATTGCCCTTTGGAATATTATTGCAATAGTTATTGGCCAATCAAAATTTAGTGCAATAGTTATTGGCGAATCAATGGGTAGTGTAATAGATATTGGCCAAGCAAAATATATTGCAATAGTTATTTTTATTCTGTCAGAAACCACAATAAATAAACAATAAATAACTCCACCGGTAAATATATTTAAATATATTTTTGACAATCGCTGTACACACCCCTTGATCCGCTGCAAAATTGGCAAAATTTACAGCGGCTTTAATTCATTATAACAGGTTCAGTTCTATCCTTATCGAATTTGAGAGGATAGGTCGCGGATAAAATAGAACTGACGTTTGCGAAATCTGTCTATTGTACAGGACTAATTCCCCGGCAGCTACCGTGGTACAGCTGCAATTGACTTTAACGGGGCTGCTGTGGGGGAATTTTGAATATCGGATCAACGTCCGGATAAATAAATCCGGTTAACTTCACGATTGCAAGCAGACATTCGTACCTATACAAAGTGCAAGTAATAGGAATCTTAATTTAATAGAATTAACAGTAAACACCCATATCGCTGAGCAGGTTTGACACTTCTTCTAATCTATCTTCTTCCTCAAGTCTCGAAGTCATCCGTGCAAGTGCCACTTCGTCTTCATCCGCCACCTTGCTCCGCGGCATCTTGTACCGATTGTCCCCTTTGGCATCGATGATAACGTGCATAACACGCTGGAGAGTCTTGAACGTCTTGTCCAATTTCACGCTTCCTTCACAGCATCAATGAGCTCGTCCATCGTCTGACATTCCAGGGCTTGCTGCAGCGCTTGAATGGAGTTGAAAAATCCCAGATCTAGGACATTCATATCCGGTGACTGCGCTGGTTGGTTCTTGATCTGAATGTCCCAGTCTCCATCTTGGGGTGCAGCAACAAAAGCAGCATCGTCAGCTGTGATGTGCGGGCGCCGCGCGCATTGTCTTGTTGTATGACGATAGATCGTCTTGCATCGTCGGCTGGCCACTTCCACTTGTCCTTGATGGCAGGCACAACAAAGTCCACGAGCAGTTTGCGGTAAACGTCCTTCGTCACAGTCACAGTCTTCAACACTTCTGTTCCGGCAGGTCGGTTGTGGCTGCTCCGCTGCGCCGGCCCCCGTTCCACGATTTTCCAGCAACTAATCTCATCATCCCAATCTTCTCGCGGCCGCGCAACCGCAACGAGAAACATGACCTTGGTGATGTGTGACTTGGACTGTAGGTGTCGTGGCATGATCTTCTCGTCGTGCCACAGAAGAAAGCGACGGCGCAGTTTGGTAAGATAAAACCACTTTTCATCAACATGAACCATGTTTAACATGTCTTCAATGTTATTGCTACCTGTTGTGAAGGCATTATAGAAGTCAAGACGAGCGGCTTTCTGGCTATCCTTCAAGTAGGGACGTGTCCAACTTGATCGGCATGTCATCCATTTCTTCCTGACGTAGGTCCAGAGGACGAACACGAACAGTCCTGTCGCTGCTGCGAGGGATCGGTACGTCTGCCGTTTGTGTAGTGGAATGCACTTGACACGCTGTTCCACCTCGTCAGGGGAAAATGTTGGTCGCCGTCCGGTGTTGCCTTTGATCCGTGTGGCCACATTGGCGACGCCACTTGCAGCCTTCGTCGCTTGCCCTCGTTTGAAGATTCGCCAGACCGTCGTAGGATTGACGTCATACGTGGAGCAAACCGCATCCATGGTGTCGCGACTGAGCTTGCCGTGTAAGGATTTCTCCAGTAGATCTTGATACAATGAAACCCGCTGCTCATCAGTCAAATTTGCCTTGCTTGTCCAAGAAGCGCTGAACGGCGCGCAGACAAGCGGCGTGGTCTTTGGCTCCATCGGCAACGGTGACCACGTGGGCATCTCGCAGCAAGGCGAGAACGTCCTTCGCCACAGTGGGCGTGCTAGTGACAGATTTATCGCGGACAAAAGTCTGCACAAGGTCTCGAACTACACGTGTGTTTCGTACGCGTGAATGATGAGTTGTCGTGTTCGATGGTAGCATCGCGACTGTGACATCTCCTGTTTGCATGTACTCAGCTAGAACCGCTTTAACAGTACGTGTACTTCGACCAAGCAGCCGGGCTATAGTGCCAGCGACATCTACAGTGTTGTCTTCCCACAGAGTAGCTTGAAGCCACAGAATGTCAAGCCTCTCGTCGTACGTGAGACTGCGCTGACGGTGCTGCTTAACGAAGTCCTTCATACGCTGTATTGTGGCCGCGACCATGGTGTCGATTTGGATTTTTGGGGATTACACGCTCAATTTTTCGAGTGGGAATCGCTGCAGCTAATCATTACGGTGATTTTGGCGGTAATTTCATCGAAATTGGACATGAATTGCAAAAGTTAGAGCAAATTTAGATATTTTGAGAGCTTTTTGTAGGGATGTTGTCGATTTTTCGGTATTTTATCCGTATCACGATGATGAAGGCATGGAGGTTTGACTGGCTCGTCCAAATCAAAATAATATGGACTTTGTAAAGATCAAATTTCACAGCATATTAGTTTTTGATGGGATCGTTTACAATGTAACGAATTTATTGTTCATGCTGTTGTGCAATATATCCTGTTTTAGAGGATACGGGTGGCATTGTTTTATTGGGGATATTTCGACGACTATAACGCAAAATATTTCGCATGAATTGGCCAGCCAATCGAGAGATACATCACTGGTGCCCTCGATGGTCTCGCGGACTGTTAGTATAAGAAATTTGGAAAATGCTTAGCTAGATATTGAAGTTGCACATGGTACTTATCTTCACATAGGTAATAAGTTAGATTCTAATAATTGCAGAACTTGTAGTCAAAGAATTTAACAAAGCTACACAACACGTAGAACTTTTCAACAAAACCTTAAGACAAGTTCCGCACAAGAGCAAAAATACGGCGGGTCTTTCGCGCCTCGCGAGAAACCGTGGAATCCGGCAACACTGGAGGTGAAACCACTTGCGATGAAGACTGAACAATTGACGCTGGAGATGGGGAACAGTGGGCACTGGAGGAGCGCCGGTTGACGTAGCCTGAGAGTTCGTTGGCGCGGCCGAGTAGTCGAGTAGTCATCCCGAGTAATGATTGGTCGCGGGCTGGACGGTGGCGAGGATGGAGACGCTGGAACGTCGGAATGGTCTTTCGAACTCGTTTTTACAATACGATCAAACATTGGTGCCAAAATCATGGATGGATCGACTCCGCTGTTTCGGCTCATATACAGCAGTAGTCGCAGTATGGCTTTATTGGTCGAGTTTGTATGCTTGACTCAATCTACGAGGGCTTCTTCGTCAGCGTCACTGTTCTCAGACCCGATCTATAGTCCACTTTGGTTGTATGTTGTTCGACTTTGTTGAACGTGCCGTCACTATTGCGTCGTCATTGTCGTCAACAGTGTACCCCCACTTTTGTCGGATATAGCGATGAGGGGGTATGTCGGGATGGTGGGCCTTCACGTGGTTAGAAAAGTTAGAGTACCACGTAATATACCCGCATCCTTCAACCATACACTTGATGCGAGCGGAAGACGTCATTTCGAGTAGTGAGCCAGCACACAACCCGTTGGCTCAGGCAACGGACTCATCTATGAAGTTAACCGGATTTATTTATCTGGACGTTGGTCCGTAATTCAAAATTCCCCCACAGCAGCCTGTACCACGGTTGCTGCCGGGAAATTAGTCATTAGACCTCTAATCCAGAGACTGAATGACTGACTATACACAAAGTAGTTTTTCATATTCTCATCATTCAAATAGAGTGCATTCAAACTGACAAATACCCCATAGTTCGCCAAAAAAGTAAGATGTTTTTGTAGTGTAGTGACCCTTTCCAAAAAGAGATCGAGGTATTTCCAATGGTCAATATTGAAGAAATCCGATTTCTTACCTAATTGCATTACTTTGTAAGGTAATTCTATGATGTGTGAATAAAACTCGTTACATTTGACTAAAACTTAGACAGAATTCCACAAATTCAGTGCACAACAGTAGAATAAAATCCTAAAATGCACCCATTTTTGATTGCACCAAGTTGCCACGTTGCAAAACCCAGTAGACCTCAGTCAGTGCGTGACTAGACCTTGTGACGAATGATCAAGGCGCCAGCTATAAGCACGTCTTGCATAATGTTGTAAGCCTTGACTAAGTGCCATTTCGTTTTTTGGTGATATTCTTGAGATCAGTAACAACAATGAAGTCTACGATCATGCGTGCCACTCGCAAAATC